TAGTTTATGCTCTGTTTGGGAAATTACGTTGGATTTGCCTTTATTTCTTAAGTATTAAAAGTTTTAAAATTTAGGGGTGTTACATGGATGCTCAGCTGCATGGTCGAAGATGAAGCTAAGAGACGGAAGAGGCGTTTGGCTAAGGTCTGAAGAAGAAAACATCCTAAATATATCTATTCATATACATATAATAACTATAGATAGGGTTTCTAAAATGGGATCAAGGCTAAGCATAGAAGATTGGGTTTGGGTTAGGTTTTTGGGCTTAGATAGTTGGGTCGAGACTATTAGGAAATACCATAAATGGACCTTAAATGTGTGTGTCTTTGACACTTGTCACGATTCTGGGAGGATGAGAAGAAAAGAGTGCTCGTCTACGCCAATTGGCCGGGAGCGGTCCATACCAAACATTCATTTTTATTTTAATGTAAAGGACCTCGGTGATATAAGGTTGGATGTCGGTTGGGATGTGCACATCGTTCCTACTAGGGGGCTCGGCTTGAAGGCCTTTGCAAAATGAGAGGTGAATCCAAATTTGGTTGCATGCTTGGCTATGTGTAGAGAGTATAAACCCTTGCTATTTCATTTTATCCTTTTAGGGGTTTTTGTTCCTTTTGGATATTCCTTGAGTTGCATTAATAAAGCACATTCCTAACACACTTGTTTTATGATATGAAGGATTTCCCTCTCTCCGGTTTCTAAACACACTAATCTTGATGGACCATTAGGTGAATTAAGTTAACATTGAGCTATCTTGAGAAGTTTCTTTGGCACTTACATGATCTTGATTTGATTGTAGCTTGCTTGAGGACAAAGAAGAGTTAAAGTGTGGAAACTTGTGATAAGTGCCAAAGACACTTAGTTTTTAGGTCTCTTAGGGGTGTAGTTTGAGCTTAATTGTGATCCTTTGTGCGTCATTCTTGACCATTTGAGCTATAATGTGTATTGTGCTATAAATTATCACCACACTTTGTGTTTTTATGAGATTAGGAAGGTTTGATCTTAAAAGAGGCATGGTGGCACAATCAGGAGCATTGCAAGGCAAAAAGAGCATACCAGAGCCTAGGCTAGAAGGCCCAACGCACGTTGGACGTGCGTGGAAGATAAACAGAAAGTCCCACGTATGCACTGGCCAATGTGCGTTGGACAACAACGTTGGAGAAGATAAGTGACCGGCCAACACACGTTGGTCGATGCATTTGACGTGCGTTGAACTTTCTGCCTTGGCGGATTTTTGAAGACCATAATTGGTGGGAAGCTATTTAATAGGCTAGACTAGATTAGAATAAAGGAGGAGAGTTAGAACACGAAGAAACACTTAGAGACAAATTCCATTTTAGCAATTTTACATTCTCTCTCTAGAATTCTCTAGCCTCTCTCTTGTGAAGGTTCCTTGAAGAAGGAGATTGACACTCTTCTACTCAAGGAGGATTGTAGAGCTTCAAAATTTGTAATCTCGATTGGTACTTTCTAATACTCATTTCTATTTCTAATTGCTTTGCTAGAATTGTGTTTACAATGTTGATTGATTTGATCATGAGTGGCTAGGTTTTCTAGGGGTTGAATTGTATGTCTTGATCATGATGCTATGTGAGCTTTAATTCTCAATCTAGGGTTATGAATGTTGCCATGCTTGTGAATCTTGTTGTTGTAGATTGTTTTGTAAGCATCCTATGGAGCTAGGCCACATCCTAGGGTTGTGCTAAGCAAGCGATCTATGCAAAAGAATGCTAGATCACTCGAAGCTTCTATCCATGGCATTTCCTAGCTAAGGATCCTAAGGAATTAAGCTAGGAAGGTAGTGTATGCAAAGTGTTTGAGGAAAGGTCCTATAGATTCTAAGAGCCCAAAGATGAATTATAGTATCTAGAAGACAAGTCTTAGTAATTGAAGAATGAAAGGACACAACCAACTCCTTAGATTCTAGCATTTGCATCATTCTACCCTAATCCTATGTTCCTAGTTGCATCCTGTGAAAGACTACCAATTCAATCCCCTTACATTTCATTTGTTTAGTTCAAATTGCTTCATTAATTGTTGTTTTACTCATTGCTACAACTCAAACTCAAAATGTGTGACACTTTCTCGTTCACACACACACCTCTTTCTCAACGTTACTATCACTTGGTGACTCCAATTTGTCGTCCTTAGAGAACGATAAAAATCCGGGATTCATCTCAATCTTTGACACGAGTGTTGGTTTACCGACCACTCCCCCAAGGTTGTCAGGTCGTTAAAATCACCCATGACTACCCAATCCATAGAATATAGATTGGATAGATACCTTAACAACGCCCAGGAACCGTTCGGGGTAGCCATAGAAGCCCGTGAACCTCCACCATGCCCCCTCGCCGTCCAACCTCACGCGAGCATTGACATAGGTATTTGAATACCCCAGCACCTCCACCTTGACTCCTGATTTCCAATGTGACGCCACCCCCCCACCCCACACTGTCAACCCCCAAACCCCCTCAAAACTAGACTGCCTCCGCACATTCTTCAGCCTACTCCTACTACACATAGTTTCACATAAGAACACCAGCTTTGGCCTCTTACGTTGGATAATATCCAACACTTGAATTGTCGACGGGTTGCCAAGCCCACGACAATTCCACGTTAGGAGACTCATTATTCTTGGTGGGCCTGCGTAGCAGAACCCGCCCCCAACATGTTTTTATGGTAGCACAATTGATACTCCAGGTGACGACAAACCAGCCTGCCTCCCCTCGTCTTACCCTTCCTCCTCAGTCCTTTGCCTTTTTTGTTCCACGATCACCACCCCTTGGCCCACTCACTCCATCATTTGAAATACCCATGCACACATCAACTACTGTACTCCCACCCTCATTTGAATTATCCATGCACACCTCCACCCCCACTTTTTCCGCATGCAAAGCCTCCTTCCCATTAAATCTAACCACATTCACATGTGCCCCTTGTAACCGTTTTCCCCAACTGTCCCTGAATTTCCAGTCCACAATTCACCAGCCAACGCTGGTCGTATGCCGCCGCCGACCGCCACCCCTGAGCCCGGCGCCATGCCCCATATGGCTTCTCCCCTACGACACCGCCCTGCTCAAAATGCCTACTACAAAACCTCTTAGAGTGCCCCATCATACCGCAAACAAAACAAAAGGTAGGCAGCCTCTCATACTTGAACTCTACCCAGAACTTAGCAAAACGTAGCGCAACCCCCATCAAGGGCTGGTTTTCTTCCATCCCCCTGAGATGCAACAGGTTCTGCTCGAACGCCCAAGGGCCATCCTCCAACACCCGCTTCATATCGAATTCGTGATAGAACTGGAACAGAAATAAGTTGTGTTACAGTTCCTTAACAGTGACACCCTTCATTGGCCTCCAAACCCCCGTCAAAGTGTCACGAACCACCGGAAACTTGAAAGGTAAGTCTGTCAGCAACCTCCCCACAACCGCAAACTTTAAGCTCTCCAAATCGCCCAGCACATCCTCCATCCCTATCTCGACACCACCTATCTCCTCCTCACCATGCGTGAGCGATGCACAAGCATCCTCTATGGATCATGAGGAAGACGCCATGCTTGCATGCAACAGACACTAAAAACAGAAGGAACCACAAATAACCAAAGGAAACAGACACGCCACAGAGAGCGAGAAGAAGACAAAAAATTCTTAAAAGTATGTTAGTCATCTTTTTTTTAAAAAAAATTATTCCATTGGAAAAAAAATAGAACTGTATTTTTGAGGTCCGAAAAAAAATTGAGATGTTACTTGACAAAGGATTAGAGGCTTCCATTTCTAATCCTTTAATTTATCTGTGGAGGCTCCTAAAGGTTAGTGGTGATGGAAAATTGAGTAACAGAACGTAGCATTTTACAAATCTTAGGATGTCTTTGGTTAGCACATGGGAATCAGAATCGGAATAGGAATCAAATATTTAGTAATGGTATGAGTTTTGGTGAAAGTATTTTGCATGTTTTGGTAGTAGAGTGGAATTGAAATGATTGCCAATATTGATGTTTGGTTATGTATGATCCTATAATGGGAATAAAGGTTTTAAAAATGCAAAAACAACAAATCAAAACACAAATCTAAAAGCACTAATCCAAACATAAAAATCATATTACCAAGAAGATGGAATGAGGTTTTTAATTTAATGGGTAATTAAATATCATAGTTGTATTTTAAAAAATTGTCAGTCAAACACTAACTATGATATTCATATTCCTAGTGTGTAAACCCATGAACCAAACACACCCATGATTCTATTTTTAGGGAATTCATTTGATTCTTTTAAACCTTGATCCTGTTCTGTCATATAATATATACTAATCTTCCATATTATTTCCATATACAATTACTGCTTTTATATATATATATATATATATATATATATATATATATATATATATATATATATATATATATATATATATATATATATATCACTGCTAGAAATCAGCGATTTCCGACCACCACAATGTAGTCGGAAATCGCCAAAATCTGGTCGGAAACTCCTGTTTCAACCAATTTTTTGATCACTTTTGGAATCAGCAAAAATGTTTGTCGGAACTTCCGACAACTACATAGAGTGGTCGGAAGCACCGTCCATGAAAATAAAGTGGTCAGAAAGTTTTGTCGCAGGGAAAGTTGGCTGGTTGGCATTTCCGACCATCATGTGGTAGAAAAACTTACTACACGTATATACGAATTACATTTTTCGACAGCTAGGTGGTCGGAAAATGTAATTCGTATAAACGTGTAGTAAGTTTTAATTCCAACCAGCAAGTGAAAAATAATTTTGAAAAATAATTTTTTAAAAAAACATTTCGCTGCTCAATTAATTTAATACATATTATATATCCTGCAATAGTGATTTTAAAGAAATAGTACTTTTATAACAATGTAATATTACAAAAAACTAGCAATTTTAATTGCATTTTCACAATTCAAAAAGTAGTAGCTACTTTACATTTTAAAAAATAGTAGCTACTTACAATTTCAAATATTTCTACATTAACATCACAAGTTCTAACAAGTACTTAGTCAAGATTATCTAACCCAACACCACTACTTTGATTGCTATCAACTATAGGAGCAACAGATTGTAACAACTCCGGATGTGCACCACATATGCCTTGGAACAACTCCATAATCTTCTTATTTTGTTATTTAATCTCCTCGTTGTCTTGCTCCAATTTTTTAATTCTTTCCTCAGAAGCTGCATGTGAGGATGATTCTCGATGTCCGACTTCTCGGGAAAGTAGTGTTGGGTACCTGATCCAAAGCCACACATAACGTCCTTTTTTGAGACCACCTATTGCCTCATACCAAATAATTTCTTGGTCAAGTTCTGGTTTAGTTTGCTGCCTTTGACTTGCAGTTTCCTATATTGATAGACAAATTTTTAAAACTCATATATTAGCAAATGTTCACTAATAAGAAAGCAAGTGTCAATTTAAACAAATGAATTAGAAAATATCACATTTCTATCATATATACAAATGTAACAGTTCACTCATATATTGACAATGTAGCAAACTCAGATTTTTCTATTCAATCATATTTTATAGACCCCATCTGAACACAAATACATTCCAGTAAACTAGTTCACCACTGGAAGTGAACCAGTTCACTGGAATGAAGAACTGGTTTAGGGGTGGTTCACTAGAATGAAGTTCCAGTGAGTTCGTTCACTGGAAGTTCATTCCAGTGAACCACCCTTTCACTGGAATTTCATTCCACCTTCACTGGAATGAAATTCCAGCAGTTTACTGGAATGAATTTCATAATTTCATTCAGTGAACTGGAATTTTATTCCAAAATTCCAGTAAACTGGTTCGAACAAGTTTAATTGAATTTTACTGGTTCAAATCAGGAATGACCCTTGGCTTCAAGCTGGAAAATTCAACGAACCCACGGTAAATGATATAAACGTACAAGAAAAGACCAAAAGACAGCAGCACAGACCTATAGACCCACATTTGGCATTTAGAACAACCCCACATTCTACAATTTACTATCCAAATTCCATGAACAACCCAAGCAAAGCACAGTCAAGATATGTAAAATCATTTATAAATATATAATTACAGCATAGTTTTATATTTAATGATAAGAGATTATAGGGAGATTCTTACAACGATTTGTTGAGATTTTTTGCACACAAACTCACCGGTGTTTTTGCGTTTGTGTGTAGCTTGAAACAAAACAGCATGTGAGGGCTCCTCTCCGAGCTTTTCTTTCTATCCAACAACAATAATTCAATAATATGGCATTAATGTTATTGTTAAAATTGGAACTGTATTTAAATATTATTAAATGACTTACTAATCTTCGCCTATGCTCAGTCATCGAGATTGAACCTCCCGTGTGCAGCGATGGTCTCATTCCCCCACAATCTGAATTTCTATTCATTTTGTTCTTCTCGCATATCTTTTTAAATTCTTCCTTGTCCAAAAAGCTGTGATACTGAGCCAGAATCGGAGCAGACATCCATAGCGGTGGTGATTCACCCTTTGCCAATTTGGCGCGCACCTTCCCAATTTGTCAAAAAGTCTTCTGGCAGGTTTTTTATGATATATACTCTGGATTACAGCTTCATCTTCTGGATTCCACTTACAGGTTTTCTTTGATAAAAAAGAAAACAAACAAATTGTAATTAGTAAACATAAGTAAGAATTATTTTCCCAATTGCAATTATAACGTAATTTACCTTAAATTCATTAAACCACATATCCTTCATTCTTTGAGGCGCACCGTTGTACGTCTTGACAGCCTCGGAGAAGTACCGAGTTCTATGATTTTTTATGCCCACTGCAAGGTTCAAACCTAAAACAAGAATGGCTAACTTAGTATATTGAGTTCATCATGATTATAATTTCATTTAACTCACATTGAAATATGTATGTTTTAAATGAATGTTTTAAGACTTACGCTTTCACGCCAATGGGACGAATGAAGATCCTATTATCGTTTGGATCTGGATTCTGCTTTGGAGGTGTATTTGTCGTATTCAGGTAGGTGATCCTCCTTCCAAATCAGCTTCATTTGAAGTAAACAATGCCGACATAGTACGCTCCGAATCACTATTATGCAACTGTCGGGCTTGTGTTGAAGGTTGGGACATCAAACTTTTCCTCTTTTGCGACATAACTTAAGCTGTTAAGCCATACAAAAGATATAGCATAATAGATTTTTCCAAAATAAATTCTAAAAGACGGGTGGTGTGAGACCAAATCTAATATATGAAAACAAGTGGAGAGAATATAGTAATCTTGTAAATATTATGATGTTGTTAGCATACATAAGAGTGCATGTCTATGTATTTATAGAAGAGAAAAACTGAAATTTCACAAAATATGGGATCCTAATGCTAGTACTCATGCTGTGTTAATGGGTTCTGTTGACAAAGACACTGAAATATGTGTCAGTGACTATGTGCTTAAGGATTAACAGAATTATGAACCTAACCTGGGATAATATTGCCACTAATACAAATAGAAGAAGCTATAAGTTTCTGTTCTATTAGAATGCAGTTTAATTGGACTCAAAATCATCTTATTTTATCTTGTTCTTCCATTTGGCAAAGTAATTTGAAGTAAATATAATTTTAGTCATTCTGATATGGAAAGAAAATTGCTATTCTGAAGGTATATCCTACAAAACTATCTGTGAAATAATAAAACGCGAAACTGGGAGAACAGATCATCAAACTTCAAGCTAAGCCTCATGGATACTATATATCTGGATTCTGGAACCATAACTTGATTTTGTATGTAAGCACATTGAGAACTTCAAATTTCATATTTCAATGTGCAATTATGCAGATTGGAGATTGCCTACGGAATTACAATGAAGACTTCAAATTTCAAAAGTAACTTGTAACATAAAAACGAGATCCTTCTATCATACTTAACGGAATTCCACTAATATGCAATTAGTGAAGCAAGTAATCACCAAACTAGACATTTGAAATCATCTTTCTATCTCTTATTTTTCGTCTTTACAGACTGGAATGCTATTCGACAGTTACTCACTGCTAAAGACTATGGTCACACACCATAATCTAAGTAAACATAGACATTTAAGGGCGAAATACTGGAAGGCATCATGTTTGTATCCCGAACACTGTGCGTGGATGATTGCAGCCGCCATAATTCCCAACACCGAAAAGTGGGTAGTAAAAAAGTTTCATAAAAAACACACTTGTCGGGTTGATTATACGCGAGGCGGAGCCGATTACATCCTTACGAGTAAAGTCATTGCCGACTTCATTCTACCAAAAATTGAAGAGGATCCCCAATACAGGATTAAATATATCATCCATGATGTTCATGTCAATTGACGTGTGCGTGTTGCATACAATAACGCATGATACGCCAAAGTTCTTGCATTTGAAAGTCTTTAAGTTTTTGTTTGACTTCTTTGTCCACTAATTAAACTATGCTTAGGTGAAAGCTTTGCGACACATTAACATTGTTGGTGAAATTGCAGAGGAGCGCAGACAAAGTGGCCAATATACGAATTTAATGTAACAAATTGCCCGAGATAAACTAAATAGACTCAACTACGGTTACCTCATGGATTTCCCTCGGAATAACGAGGACATTTTTTACTGGCCTATTCAACAAGAGCGAACCACGGATAGAAGACAGGACGTAAACAGACTCGGTGATGCAGCTAATGGTAGTCATCGACGTCGGCAAGTTCCACATATGAACGCCGACGCGCCAATCAACGCTAACGATGAACAAGACGCGGTAGGCGACGATAATCCAGCCGAACATCAGCAAGACGGTTATGAAACACAATATATGGGAGATATCACGCAACATCAGGTTCACCAATTTGCAATACCCCATTCCCTCAACGTGATTAATCCATATATGTCGTTGCCTTATTATGACCAAGGAGAATCTTCCCAACAAATTCCAAAACACGGTGGCCGTCCAATGCGCAGCTCTTCACATGCGATGTCTAACGAGCCTTTTGACCACCCTAGTATACAGGAGTTGTTTGACGCTGACAAATTGTTAGATACATCTCAAGTCTTTAATCCTTCTCAGGAAAACGAAACAATCATGGTACAGTATCAACGTCGTCGCCCATCACGCAATAGAAGGCGGCCTCCTTGTGGAACTTAAGTATTTTGTATTTTTTTCGGAGTGTAAATCTGTATTATATAATGTTCAAGCTTGACTGTAATTCTGTAGTGTTTTGAACTTAACCACGTACTGTTTGGATTTACAATTAAAAATGAGCATAAAAGTAAGATAACAAATAGTCGAAAGAACACACAAAAATACGGAGAAAAACAAAAGATTTAAACTTCTTCCTAAAAAATTAAAAAAAAAAAAAAAAAATATATATATATATATATATATATATATATATATATATATATATCATCCATGATGTTCATGTCAATTGGGGTGTGCGTGTTGCATACAAGAAGGCATGGTACGCCAAAGTTCTTGCGTTGGAAAGTCTTTATGGGAAGTGGGATGACTCTTACAATCTACTGCCAAAACTTCTACTCGCGTTACAACAAACCAACCCAAAATCGGTTGTTGATATTCACACAATGGTCAAAACAACTCCCAACGTGTTTGAGTTCAAGTACGCATTATGGGCATTTAAACCCGCACTAAACGGGTTTAAATACTGCTTGCACATTCTTACCATTCATGGTACACGTCTTTATGGGAAGTACAATGGCCATTTATTGATAGCAGTCGGGTACAATGCGAACAAAGAAATATATCCAGTTGTGTACTCGATTGTTGATGCTGAGACTGGAGATAGTTGGGCGTGGTTCCTGAAGTGGGTAGCACACCACGTGTTTGGGGAGCTCGAACACATATGCATCATTTCTAACCACCACGGTGGGATCGACGTTGATTTCGCACCCTGCCGGAATTGCGTGAGCCCCGGGTACAACGTCGTTACTTCCCCCGCCATCTAAGATCTAATTTAATGACGAAGTTTAAGAACAAGGATTTAAAATCGCTTGTTTGGCAAGCCGGGTGTGCCTTTGAAGAGAGGGGTTTTAACGCCACAATGAGCACAATTCGCGCCATTGATGAGGCCGCGTTTGATTATCTTAATGAAATACCTGCGCACTATTGGGCTCTAAGCCATGATGGTCGTTTTCTGCCCGTTTCAGCCATAATGAAGGTCACGTTTGAGAAACTTGCGTTGCAGTTTGCTGATAGACAAACAAAGGGCTTGGTAATGCAACAAGCAGGTTTGCAATGGCCACGAAATTTTTTAGATGAAATGTTGAGAAGGAAAACTCACAAGTACTGGGCCAAAGTAAAAAGGCACGATGACGTTGATGGTGTTTACGCAGTTGCGATCGAAGGTGTGCTTACACCGTCGGGCAGAGCTAAATTCGTGATCATCAACATGAGTGCAGGCAATTGTAGTTGTGGTCAGTGTGTTGTCGATAGATTGCCCTGCAGGCATGCTCACGCAGCATGCCATTATGTCGGTAGAGTTTCAGACTGTATTAGCCATCGATACAGTATAATGTGTTGCCACCCCAAGGTGTTCAACGAAGACGTGGCAGACGCGCAAGTACAAAAATTCCCAATGAAATGGATCTTGATGGAAGAAGATGTTGTGTTCGTCGTTCAGCAAACCACCATGTTAGACGTCGTCAACATGTTCAAAGTCGTTGTCGTTCAACTAACGACGATGTTACATGAATGTCCTTTCGTTTTACCTTCAATTATCTTTTTCGCAAATTTTATTAATCTGTATTATGTTTTTTTGGCTGGAACAATGCAAAATTTGGTTGTATTTAACTTTGATGTAGCTTAATTTGGTTATGAAATCGTGACAAGCATTTTTTTTTTTAAAGTGACAGCCACAATCGGCTGGAAAAATGCTTGTCACTTTTTATTTTTTATTTTTTATTTTTTTTAAAAAATGCTTATCACTACTTCAGAACCAAATTAAGCTACATCAAAGTTAAATACAACCAAATTTTGCATTGTTCCAGCCAAAAAATATTATACATATTAATAAAATTCACGAAAAAGATAATTGAAGGTAAAACGGAACGACATTCATGTAACATCGTCGTTAGTTGAACGACAACCACTTTGAACATGTTGACGACGTCTAACATGGTGGTTAGCTGAACGATGAACACCACATCTTCTTCCGTCAAGATCCATTTCATTGGAAATTCTTGTATTTGCGCGTCTGCCACGTCTTCGTTGTACACATTGGGGTGGCAACACCTTATACTGTATCGATGGCTAATACTCTTCCGTCAATAAAGGCATTATGGTTCCTTCATAGCATTTTAGATAGTTGTTAAGGGAATATTTATCCGGGATCATACAGTCCGAAACTCTACTGACATAATGGCAAGTCGCGTGAGCATGCACGCAGGGCAATTCATCAACAGCCCACTGACCACAACTACAATTGTCTGCACTCATGTTGATGATCACGAATTTAGGTCTGCCCAACGGTGTAAGCACACCTTCGATCGCAACTGCGTAAACACCATCAACGTCATCATGCCTTTTTACTTTGGCCCGGTACTTGTGAGTTTCCCTTCTCAACATTTCATCTAAAAAATTTCGTGGCCATTGCAAACCCGCTTATTGCATTACCAAGCCCTTTGTTTGTCTGTAAGCAAACTGCAACGCAAGTTTCTCAAACGTGACCATCATTATGGCTGAAACGGGCAGAAAACGACAATCATGACTCAGAGCCCAATAGCACGCAGGTATGTCATTAAGATAATCAAACGCGGCCTCATCAATGGCGCGAAAGGTGCTCATTGTGGCATTAAAACCCCTCTCATCAAAGGCACACCCGGCTTGCCAAACAAGCGATTTTAAATCCTTGTTCTTAAACTTTGTCATTAAATTAGATCTTAGATGGCGGAGGCAGTAACGACGTTGTAGCCGGGGCTCACACAATTCCGACAAGGTGCGAAATGCAACGTCGATCCCACCATGGCGGTCAGAAATGATGCATATGTGTTCGAACTCCCCAAACACGTGTTGTGCTACCAACTTCAGGAACCACACCCAACTATCTCCAGTCTCAGCATCCACAATCGAGTACGAAACTGGATATATTTCTTTGTTCGCATTGTACCCGACTGCTATCAATAAATGGCCTTTGTACTTCCCATAAAGACGTATACCATCAATGGTAAGAATGGGCAAGCAGTATTTAAACCCGTTTAGTGCGGGTTTAAATGCCCAGAATGCATACTTGAACTCAAACACATTGGGAGTTGCTGTGGCCGTTGTGTGAATATCAACAACAGATTCTAGGTTGGTTTGCTGTAAAGCGAGTAGAAGTTTTGGCAGTAGATTGTAAGAGTCATCCGACTTCCTATAAAGACTTTCAACACAAGAACTTTGGCGTACCATGCCTTCTTGTATGCAACACGCACACCCCAATTGACATGAACATCATGGATGATATTTTTTTTTTTTTTACGAAGAAGTTTAAATCTTTTTTTTACTCCGTGTTTTTGTGTGTTCTTTCGACTACTATTTGTTATCTTACTTTTATGCTCATTTTTAGTGCTAAATCCAAACAGTACGTGGTTAAGTTCAAAACACTACAGAATTATAGTCAAGCTTGAACATTATATAATACAGAGTTACACTCCGAAAAAATACAAAATACTTAAGTTCCACAAGGAGGCCGCCTTCTATTGCGCGATGGGCGACGACGTTGATATTGTACCATGCTTGTTTCATTTTCCTGAGAAGGATTATTGTACCATGCTTGTTTCATTTTCCTGAGAAGGATTAAAGACTTGAGATGTATCTAACAATTCGTCAGCGTCAAACAACTCCTGTATACTAGGGTGGTCAAATGGCTCGTTAGGCATCGCATGTGAAGAGCTGCGCATTGGACGGCCACCGTGTTCCGGAATTTGTTGGGAAGATTCTCCTTGGTAACGCAACGGCATATATGGAGTAATCACTTTGGGGGAATGGGGTATTGCAAATTGGTGAACCTGATGTTGCGTGATATCTCGCATATATTGTGCTCCATAACCGTCTTGCTGATGTTCGGCTGGATTATAGTCGCCTACCGCTTCTTGTTCATCGTCGGCGTTGATTGGCGCGTTGGCGTTAAAGTTCATAGGTGGAACTTTCCGACGTCGATGATCACCCTGAGCTGGACCACCGCGTCTGTTTACGGACCGTCTTCTGTCCGCGATCCACTCTTGTTCAATAGGCTCGTAAAAAATGTCCTCGTTATTCCGAGGAAAATCCATGAGGTAACCGTAGTTGAGTCTATTTAGTTCATCTCGTGTGTGTGCAATAATATATATTTATATGTATATAATCATATATTCAAATTGTTAGATGTAAGTATCAAAGAGTGTCCAAGAGTATTTATATATGCATACGTTATTAGTTTGACATCTATCAAACTCATCCCGGTATGTTGTGTATGTGTAGTTAGATGTAAATGTCTGATCCTACAGACGTTGTGTTTTATATATGCCGTGCCCAAATAGGCGTGACGTCAAACAAGTCTACGCTAAGGAGTACACTCGAGTCCCTAAACAAGAAATGCAGAACTCCAGGGAAGCTACGTTTCATAACTGTGTTAACGACTTCCAAGAAATGGAAATTCAATGCAGTATACGAATATATGATGTATATCAATGCAGTATCTGGAAATTAAATTTTTCCGCATTTCGTTGCTAATTCATGTACTCTTCAGTATATGAATATATGATGTATATATAAGTTGTGTAATTTGCGAAAGAGAATTTGTGTTTGTATACATTTATATCATTATCACGATTTCAGTATATGAATATATGATGTATATCCAAGCCTGACTACTGTATTACCGTATATCATATCAATTGCAATTTCATTTTTTTTCCGATTTTGTAAAACACAAATTCATATTCCTTTGTTATATTAAACAAATCTTCATTCGGTTTCGGTCCTTTTCGATCGGTTACCAAAAAACCAACCATACACAAAACACTCAAATAAATTCAACAATTAATATTGTAATACATATTCATATCACATGTATTGTTTTTTTACAACCAAAGTAGTCAACGGAACTTGGTTAAAAAGAAAGAATAATGCTAAAAGAATTTAGAAGAAATAGTTATTGCCTTTGCCTACCCGGAAAAGATTGTAAACCACTAAACCCTTACAATTTTTTCCAAAGTATTTGTAATGCTCATCTTACAAATTAAGATATGCATATTACATATGATAAGGAATGCTATCCCCTAAAGTAATAGTTAAAAAAAATTAACCGACCGATAACCAATTTTTTCGGTCGGTTAACCAATATTTTGCTCACCCCTAACTAGAGATGATGGACAACTAAGGTAAACATTCACCAACCGGACCATTGCAACACAAACTCGAAATCGGTCAAAACAAAAAATGGAGAAATGCGGTTCAGAACGCATTTCGAACATGCGTTTTTCAGGTCGTCGGAACCTAACACCGGAAGCAGGCGCAAAACTAAAACGCATTTGGCAGTTGCGTTTAACGTATAATACGTCAAAAGCATCTGGTTGTTGCGTTTTACTGTATGTACTATCAGAGTCCGTATATACTCACGCCGTCGGATTCCGGCTGCGTACCGGTAGCTTAAACGCATTTGGCAGTTACGTTTAACATATAATACGTTGAGCGCATCTGCCAAATGCATGTTGTAGTATGCCATTGTATACTACACGTATACCTCAAAGGCTCAAAACACATTTAGGAAATGCATTTGAGGTATACGATACCTAAAACGTAAGTCATACTTACGTTTGAATAAACCCCAAAAAAAATAGTGACGAGGTCATTTGGGACACACCTAAAATGCAAGTCCCAAACATGCTTTACACATTTTTGTCAAAAAAAAAAAACAAACAAACAAAAAAAAAAAAAAACAACACCACATTTTGGGAAATGCATAACTTTCTACACATTTGAGTCATTTTTCCTCTATGCTGCACCCATGCAAGACGCTCTTCTCTTTTTGCCCAACTTTTCCCTTCATTCCCATTTAAGTATCCAATATAAAAATGAAGAACTCTCGTGGAGAGCCCCCAGCCCTTTTATCTACATATCCATAGTATCCTATTTTGGTCAATTCTCATAGTTTCACATTCAAGTATACAATTATAATTATTGTGATCTAAAGTGTTTTTGCACTAAATAACATTAATGCACGAAAATATTTTTAAAATGTAATGAGTTTAGTAAAAATAAGAAATTGTTATATTTACATCATAAACTCATAAAATCAATATAAATTATATAAATGTATAAATTACCTTAAATTATACAAAGAAATCGCAATCGTGAATACTGATTCCTAGCTTCCAAAATTGTTAAGTTTAACCACATCCTTGAAATTGAAGAAATATTTACTAAAACCTGGATTCAATGAAAACCAAACAGTAAACATACGAACAAGCTAAGAAAAGAAAAACCCAAAATCAATGCAAAACACTGCATATTTTAGATATCCAGAGGAAAAAAATTAAAATGAAGAAAAACAAGGAAAACAGCAAGAGAAAATCTAGAGATGGAGGAGATATAAGGTCAAATCTTACCGATGAATTTTAGCGGCATTGGGTCAGTTCAAAGATTAGAGAGTAGTACGTGTAGAAAGTTTGTGAGCAGTGGATGAAGAGTGGAAATAATGAGAGCTGAGAATTTAAGAAAGAGTAGAAATAATGTATGTGTCCGAATTGAACAAAGTTCACAAGAGGCTATTCCTTACTGCTATTTTTCCATCTTTTCATTGTCATTGGCCTGCCCAATGCAAGTCACGAGTGAACTGCCAAAAGTTGTCCACTTTAATTGTCCACTTGCATGCAATGAACAGTGATGACTGTATTTATATTATTGCTTATACGAAATACTATATAGTAAATTTGCAATGGAATCCGCATGACTTCTTTAGCTAAAGCTTATGGTGTGTTTGGTTCGGATATGGAAATCAAAATGGGAATCAAATACTTGGTTATGGTATGAGTTTTGGTGAAAGTATTTTGCATGTTTGGTAGTAGGGTGGAATGATGATGATTGCTTAGGGTGTGTTTGGTTCGCACATAGGAATTGGAACCGGAATGGGTATCAAATACTTGGTAATGGTAATGGGTTTTGGTGAAAGTATTTAACATGTTTGGTAGTATGGTGGAATCGGAATGGTTACTAATAGTAGTGCTTGAGAATGAATAAGGGAATGAAACCCTTATTGTATTTGGGTATGGGTTTTTCAATTGATGGGGTATTCGAAACCCATAGTAGTGTTCTAAAAATCTATCAATCAAACAACAACAATCACTTTCATACTCATTCCTATGGGCAAAACCCACCAACCAAACACACCCTTATTGATGTTTAATTTTGTTATGTATGACCTTATAATTGGATTAAACGGTTTAAAAATATAAAAACAATAAATAAAAACAATTGATCTTATGACATTCAAAGCATCTAAAAGCATTAATCCAAACTTCATGTTACCAATAAGATGGAATGATTTCTTTTTTAATTAGGGATAAGGGAATGAGGTCTTTTAATTGAAGATCTAATCAAATCCATAGTTGTGTTTTAAAAAGTTGTCCACCAAATACTAACTATGATTTTGATTCACATTTCTAGTGTGTAAACCCATGAACCAAATACACCATTAATTCTTTAATTAGCACCAGAAACTATAGTGTTTGGTTGGTGAGAATTGCAATTCCACTGAATTATATTTCAATTCTTTTGTTTTGTAGAATTGGAATTCATACCTCCCCTATGAATTCCAATTCAGCCTAGCACAGAAAGGAAAAAAGATTAAAAAAAATAACTTTTTTGCACTTCTATTATTATTATTATACAAGAATGTTTTAATCTTTATATCACTTTTCATTTTCTATTTCTAATAATTTTATTTTTCCCTACATACTAAAAAAAATATAATTTGAATTCATAAGGTATTCCACTTCATTCTTTTATTAAATTTGTACTGAGCTCACATGATGAAAATGTTCCCCTGTCAAATCAAAAAATATAATTAAGGGAGTGGAATATAAGATTCTGCATACTAAACTATTGCATATACTATAAAACAAAAAAAAAAAAAAAAAAAAAGTATAGGAAATGACGGGTCATTGTAAGGCTGGCAAGTGAATAGTTAAGATTCCACACCCCACTCTTTCCAATTGTTGCTTTTTCATATTACAGTACAAATACTAGCATTTCACTCATGCTATCTATGAATAATAATTATTAAAAATTGTAAATTGTAGCAACAGTATTTTCTCTGCAATTCTCTCAGTATTCCTTTACATACCTTGAATTTCGGCTCACTTTCAATAATAATAATAATAATAATAATAATAATAATAATAATAATAATAATAATAATAATAAAACAGGGAAAATGTGGTTTTGACAAATGCAATGCTTGCAAGTTGCAACCAACTATGACTAAATAAAGTTTTTTAAAAAAATGGAATGGCATACTTTGCCAGATTAAAAGACCAGGAATTACAGGAATATTTACAAAAAATAAAAAATAAATAAATAAAAAAATGCAGAAATAGCGAACGAAAATTTCCGTCGCTACAAAGCGTGTAGCTATAGCTTTGCGACACAATTTAATTCCGCCGTAACTTAAACCAAAAAATCACTATTTTCTTCCTGACGATTTGATAACAAAATATGTAAGGGAATAACGACGGAACATTTCGTCGCTAAAAAACAAAAAAAAACCGTTGCAAGTTTTCTACCACGATGATTTGATGAAGACATTTGCAAGGGAATAGCGACAGAATTTTCCGTCGCTAAATATAGGGTCGAAAAAGTTTACCGTTAAATGTCCGTTGCTACATTTAGCGATAGAAAATTTCATCGCTAATTTGTTTCTATTATTAGCGTTGGATGCCATTTAGCTATAGCTTAGCGACGGAAATAACGTCGCTAAATTTAGCAATAATGGATTTTTCCGTTGCTAATTTTACCAACGGATTTTTAAATATCTCCTTCTTGAGCTCCTTACATGGCTAGCTGAACCGATGAGTTACTTTAATATCTCTTCCGAACACAACATGCATCTTATGTAAAATGGGATAGTGATATTTGAAAAACACTATATATGTATTTGGTTTCCATCATATCTTATTTGTTAAGGGAATTGCAAGGATTGTCAAACTTCGACAACCTTATTGCTAGACAAAGGGTTAGAGGTTTGTTTCTAATCCTTGATCTATGGTGCCTCATAAAGGTTAGTAACTTAATGGTGCTGAAAAAGCCTGTGTTTGAATCTGATGTTTAAATATATGTTTAGTGTTCCATGGTTTATTAAATTGTGTGCATGATACTAATTTGTCGTGTGCCCATTATTTGTCTACACAATCCTCTATATATCACTGTCCTCACACACACACACACACACACACACACACACACACACACACACACACACACACACACACACACACACATATATATATATATATATATATATATATATATATATATATATAGAATAATAATCATATGTGGTCATATTGTTAGGTGTGGTCGTCTGGCGGAATTTCAGAATACACTGTTACACCAACAGTGTAAGGAAAACACACCATAATGAAATGCAAAAAAAAAAAAATACCAAAAAATACACAACAGACCCAAAAAAATACACCATATAACTCACCAACCCCAATGGTGTATTTCCGAACACTGTATGATGTTTTTACTCACACCTAATGGTGTGTTGTTGGTGAAGCGTACCTAATTTGTGTGCGTTTTTTGTTGTGCATTTTCTGACGTTGATGGTGTATATTTTACTAACTATTGGTGTATTCTGAAAATCGCCACATGACCACACGGGAAGGATATATATATATATATATATATATATATATATATATATATATATATATATATATATATATATATATATATATATAGTAAAATATTCCCATGCGGTTGTGCGGTTGGACGCACCTTAAACATTAACATGGCGCATCTTAAGTATACAAATCACCACCCACATTAAGCACACAAACAAAGCACCTTACGAACACAAATCACTCACATTAATTAAGTACATAAACCACGCACCTTAAGCACACAGGTGCACTTAGCATTACAGGTTTATTTTATTTTATTTTTTGTTGGTTGTTTAGTTTTAGAATGTTTTTTTTTTTTAATTATTGTCTATGATTGTTACAGACAACCTTATCGAATCTGCAAGTGCATATCTGTTTTGTTTTTCCTTTAAGGAGACATTTCGACAGTAGGTGTCATCATTTTTGGGTTTGTGTATTTTGCTTAGGTAATTGCACATGGGTTGATATTTTCTGTGTTTGGGTTTGGGGTTTGGGCTCGTGCATCGTGGTTGTTTTTTCATGTTTTTTGCATTTAAGTGGATGCGCTATGGGTCTTTGGTTGTTGCGTATGTCCTTGCTATCAATTGTATGTTGTTGTGCAGTTGTATTTTTTATGTAATGGTATTTTTTTTTTGGTTTTGGTTTCTGTGATTTTCTTTTGCCATTCCCAGGTGATGTTGCAGTTCATCCTGTAGTCGATGTTGCGGAAGAGCCGGTTGTTGATATCGGGGTGGTGGCACCTTTGTCATAGGGTGATGCGCGTGTGCTGGCTTTACATGTTCGCTTCGTGTATGATATTTTGATGTTCCAAAGCAACCCCCATCGCCTCTCGAATGTCAACTGTGTTATGAGGTCAAGTGCAGTGGCTCGTTGAAGGCCATACTTTTATACACAACTTTTAACTTTGTCTCCTTCCATTAAATAATGTTTTTAGTGGCATTTGTTTTTTGCTCATGGATGTTTGGTTGGTTTATGGATTCTTCACGACAACATTGCGTGTTACAGATGTATCCCATATTTCTCTTACAGTTTGTGGTTGTCTTTTTTTTTCCCTTTGTTTTTCAAAGTTCGTGCAAATATGGGTGTCAGGGGAAAACTAATCCAAAACAGCAGAATAACGCTCACACTGTAACAGGAGTATGCACTAACTTCGCTCCCCTAATGCACACACCGGTAAACGCATGTATAAGCCTTTGCGATATGCACAGACTGTTGGCCTAATACGCACATAGCAGTGCACAGAGATTCATACACACAATATTATTATTTAATCATAGTTCTTTGTTTACAGTGTCATGCACTCACCTATACACAACTACGCACACAGCGTAATTTCAAATACAAAACAATTGTCACGTTCGTGCAAACATGGGTGTCAGCAGCAAACTAACCTAAAATCAAAAAATAGAAGCCACACAAAACAAGCACTATGCACTAATTTCTATAAAACCAAAAAATATAACCCACACAAAATAAGTACTATGCACTAATTTCTATTAACTAATGCACACGCCGATACATGGTTGTATTCTGCCACAGCTATATGCACCGACTGGTGGCCTGCTACGCACATAGTAGCGCACTGATGGCCTGCTTCGCACAAATACATAACAATTTTCAACCCAACCAAAAATCACATCGTATACCCTAAGCAACGAGGCCTCTGCTAACGGAGATAACAAATTTTAATGGGGGAATGCACATACTCATGGTTGTCTACGCATCCTCCCGCCACCCCATCCATTTCACAATCAGCCCTATATCCACCCAACTGAACACGGTCACGCTATGTACATCACATAACTTCTAGTTCGTCCAACTAAACCCCCCCTCCCCCCTCAAAAAAAAAAAAACATAATCACCAACGTATGCACACACAAGAATACGTAAACACACATACATGTGCTGCTAGAAACTATATCTGAAGCGTGCTTCGTGTTTGTTTCTGCACTACCCACCCGTTCGGTTTCACCCCAATCCTTGTTCACACGTTTTTCAGATCATCAACATTTGTAAATAGTTTAAAGTATTAATTTCCATTCATAAACTCCCTAATATAATGCTTAAGGTTCCAATTCAATTATATCCATAATTAAACATATAAATACAATACTATTCAATCCTTTTGATTGGAAAATATCCTTAATTACTACCACAATCTGTTATAATCTCAACCATTCATGGAAAATGAATCAATGGATATCATGATGCCTCATGGTCTCATCTATTATAGGGGGTGCACCGGATTCGAAGCCTATATATATATATATATATATATATATATATATATATATATATATATATATATATATAGATCCCCGCACCCACCTCGCCCCATTGCTATTCCTAATTGAGGTTGTCTTCATTGTGGTCATCTGTAAACTTCAAAGGTGTAAAAGACAATGTATTTGCCTGTTTTCTGTTGTGCCTTCTTGTGTGTTTGGGGTGGTATGCTATACCACCCCAAACACACAAGAAGGCACAACAGAAAACAGGCAAATACATTGTCTTTTACACCTTTGAAGTTTACAGATGACCACAATGAAGACAACCTCAATTAGGAATAGCAATGGGGCGAGGTGGGTGCGGGGATCTATTCCCGGCAACTACATTCTCGATTGAAAAAGGCTTTCGTTAATTGATACGTAACGTCAGGATTACAGAGTATATCTAACTCTAACTAATCCTAACAAATAGATATACCAAGTCAATCTATCTAAGCCACAAGATATAACTATACAAAAGAAATAATAATAATAATAATAATAATAATAATAATAATAATAATAATAATAATAATAATAATAATAATAATAATAATAATAATAATAATAATAACACCTTATACTAACACACCCCCTCAAGCACAAAGTTAGAGGGCAACAACATTGAGCTTGTCACGCATGGCAGCAAACCGTGGTGCAGGTAACGGTTTCGTGAAGATATCTGCAAGCTGATCTATCGTAGAAATATAATTGACGAGGAAGTCACCCGAAGCGACCTTGTCACGAACAAAGTGATAGTCTATCTCCACATGTTTGGTAAGTGCATGGAAAACCGGATTGGCACATAGATACGTGGCCCCTAGATTGTCACACCAGAGTGTTGCAGGCTTCCAAGAGTGTAACCCAAGCTCTCGTAGTAACAAAACGACCCAAGTAACCTCAGCGGAGACATCAGTTAAGGCCTTGTACTCAGCCTCAGTGGAGGACCTAGCCACAGTGCGCTGCTTCTTTGAGAGCCAGGAGATTAAATTGTCACCTAAGTAGATGGCAAACCCACTCGTGCTTTTCCTATCTACAGGACAACTAGCCCAGTCAGAGTCTGAATAAGAGTGAATATTGGAAGATGCAGACGGAGAGATACGTAACCCATAACTCAGAGTACCCTTGACATAACGCATGACTCGTTTCACCAAACCCCAATGCTCATCAGTGGGTGAGTGCATGAACTGGCAAAGACGGTTGACTGCATAACTCAAATCCGGCCTCGTAATGGTTAAGTACTGCAAAGCCCCTACAATGCGCCGATACTTAGTCGGATTGTCATAGAGCTGAGCGGAAGGTTACAGTGGCCTTTGTGACGGCTGCTAGCGTAGTAAGAGGTTTGCAGTCGGCCATACCTGAACGGCCCAAAAGATCAGTCATATAGCGTCACTGTGACAAAAACATGCCACTAGTAGAGGACACGGTCTCGATACCCAAGAAGAAACCCGGTGAGCCTAGATCCCGAATCTTGAAGGTAGAAGCAAGCCGCTGTAGGATAGTGTCTACTAGTGTACCGTCGTTGCCCATCATAATTATATCATCGACATAGACTAGAAGATATACACGAGCGATGCCTGAAGTGTAATAGAACAAGGACACATCCGTCTTCGATGACTTAAACCCTGCTGACAATAGAAAGTCGTGAAGCCGCTTAAACCAGGCACGAGGAGCCTGTTTGAGACCATACAAAGACCGATGTAAATGATAAACATGTCCTGGCATGGACGGATCTTCATACCCCGGTGGTTGCTTCATGTACACTGTTTCTGCTAAATGACCGTTCAGAAAGGCGTTGTGGACGTCCAGTTGCCGGAGAGTCCACTTATTGGTTACTGCTAAAGAAAACAAGAGTCCTACCGTGGTTGGTTTAACAACCGGACTGAACGTATCAAAGAAATCTTCCCCTGCAACCTGATTGAACCCTTTGGCTACCAACCGAGCCTTATACCGTTCTACTGACCCATCTGCAGTGCGCTTCGTTCGGAATACCTACTTGCACCCGATTATATTCATGTGTGGCTCCGGAGGGACCAGACGCCAAGTTTGATTATGTAATAAAGGCATTGAACTCTTGATCTATGGCTTCACGCCAGTGGGGGTGCCCCACAGCTTGTGAGTAACAAGTGGGATTAGCAACCGCTGTCAAGGCATGAAAGGGCTCAGACGTGCCTTTGGTCATATGACGGAGGCGCATAACATGATCACGGCTTTGCGGTTGTGCACGCCGTTTGCATGTCCTTACCGGTGCAGTTTGTGTGATTGCCAACTGAGGAGGAGCCCTCGCTAGTGGTAAAGGTTCACTTTCAGAGAGCACATTATTAGATGGTACAGTGGGGCTACCACCTGGTGCCAGTAGACATAAGGGCGCTACCGCCCAGGGGACAGCCGGTGGTGTAGACACTTGTGTATAGTCTCCTGTTGCAAAAGGAAAATTAGACTCGTCAAAACGTACATGGCGACAGATATAGGTTTTCCCGGTCGCCAAGGCAACACATCTGTATCCCCTAAAGGAGGGTGGGTAACCTAGGAAGACGCAAGGAATGGAGCGGTACTCAATTTTGTGTCGATTGTACGGACGGAGATATGGGTAGCACCGACACCCAAAGACACGAAGGAAATTATAGGGTGGTGGGACTTTGAATAAATGGGTGTAGGGACTTTCATAATTAATTGCTGGTGATGGTAAGTAGTTGATTAAGCATGTTGTTGTTTCAAAAGCGTAGTCCCAATATTGTTGCGGGACTTTGCCTTCAGCAAGTAGGGTGAGGCTTGTTTCAACTACATGCCTGTTACGGCGCTCGACTTTGCCATTTTGTTCATGTGTATAGGCACACGATTGGCGATGATTTATACCTAAAGATTGAAAGATTGTGTGGAGTTTGCGGTATTCACCCCTAGATCGGATTGAATAGACTTGATAGAGCGCGAAAACTGCCGCTCTACCAAAACATGAAACGAGTTAAACACTTTATATATATCCGATTTCACCCTTAATGGGTAAAACCAGTAGAATCTGGAATAGTCGTCTACAAATAAACAAAAGTAACGATTACCACTACTAGATAGTTCAGGGGAAGGACCCCAAATATCGGTAAAAATTAAATCTAGTACATTTTCACTAGAATGAGAAATACTATCTAGTTTAAATCGAGACGACTTGCCCAGGTGACACGATGCACACGATTCAAGAGTGGTGTTTTTATTGACCGTGATGGGACAGCTTTTCAGGACTTTATTTAATAATTGACTGTGCGGGTGACCAAGCCTGTTGTGCCAAATGGTGGGAGTGGCACGGGAACTGACGAACGCGTATTGTGACCGTAACAATGGAAACTTGTACAACCCGCCAGAAGTAGATCCCTTAAGTAGAACCTCCTTGGTTGTGGAATCCTTCACAAAAAAAGAAGCGTTATGAAATTCAAAAAACACTTTGTTGTCATTAGTAAATTTATGAACGAACAACAAAGGAACTGACAGACACGGGACATGTAACACATCATTTAAATTGAGATTTTTAGATTTGGATGGAATAGACGTGTTGGTCCCAAAAGAGGTAAGGTGAAAGTCTAGAGGGGGGGGGGGTGAATAGACTTTCAAACTTTTTCGCACAGCACAACAATTGCTAAGCCAGAGATAAACCAAAACTCTTAACTAGATTGTTAGAGTATGGTGCACAGCGGAAATAAATAAACATAAAGTGTGTGTGAGATTGTGTGAGCAGTATATCTCGTGTAGAGCTAATATGTAAAGAGCAGTAAGTAAAGAAAGCAGTAAAGAACACAAGACAATTATAGTGGTCCGCGAGGTGGTGTAATCCTCCTACTCCACTTGCTCTTATCTCCAAGAGCAATTCACTATATCTACCACTCCTTGGTTCCAAGATACAATGAATTTCCGTGATCTAGTGCTTTGATCACAAAGCCCGCACTAATCACGCCCAGTGACACCACACTGCTGCTTCGGGTTTCACGTCGCCGCGCTACTATCCCAAGATTTCACGACTCCGCGTTACATTCCCCCCGTCTTCCACACTCCGGTAGAAACATATCCCGTGATCTAGTGCTTTGATCACAAAGCCCGCACTAATCACGCCCAGTGCCTCCGACACTGCTGCTTCGGATCTCACAGCTCCATGTGACAATCCAGGATTTCACAGCTCCGTGCTACTTTCCTCCCTTCTCTTGTTTTGCTCCAAAACAAGTGTTGTCTTGCTTCCAACTTCTGAGACTCTGTAGATGATCTTCAATGATGCGCAGGTCTCTTTGATGAAGATAAAAACTCTGGAATGATTTCTCTTGATAGCTCTGAGTGTTTTCTCTCTTTGAATATACCAAGTAAAGCACTTGATATTTTTGCGCTGCTTTGCTCTGCTTTTTGAACTCTCTGAATATTTTCTTTTAAGCTCTCTGAGTTCTTTTTCTTTTCTCACTTCTCACTTGAAGATTTTTGGTATGCTCTGTACCAAATGAGATTTTTTGCTCTATGCTCTTTCAAGCTTAATTGCTCTATTCGTTCCCCTTGATGGGTTCGAATTTTCTGCTCTCTTGTTCGTGATTTTCTCAACTGCTTTATGCTCTTCTCACTTTCGTTTACTTCTCTACTTCTCTTCACGTCTTCATATCTTCATCATTTTATAGCTGGTAATGAGAATCTGTCCGTTGGAAAGAGACGCTCTCATTTTTGAAATCTTGTATCTTTTTGTCAGAGATCTTATCTTATCTTCTGCAAAGATGTCAGAAAGGATAAGCTAGCCGTTTGATGGATCTTCATCTCCATGTAAATGGGCTCCCAAACTTCATATGATATTCCTCTGGTTTTACGTTGAGTGGGAATATCTGGGTGTAGAACGGCTTCTCTGATTAGCTCTAAAGTGGTCCTTGTATCTTTGGGATTTAAAAATATTCTTCAATTTAATCCCATACTAGTTAAACTAGTATTATTCCTTGTGAGAATATTTTCACTATAAGTTCATCTTCATCTTCTTCATTCTCACGTCTGGGTGTTCTCAGACTTCAAACTGGCTTTGAACTTCCACCCAATTTGAATTTCTCCTTAGTAATTGACACCCAATTTCAATTGGCTTGTAATTGGCACCCAATTTGAATTTCTCCTTTGTAATTGGCTCCCAATTGACTTTGACTTGTAATTGGCTCCCAATCTACTCCTGGTGCTTTCAATTGCTTCCCAATTTGAATTGTTGACTTTGACTTCAAAATTGGCTCCCTGACTTCTCCTGGTATTAAATTTCAACTCAATTCAATTTGATCTCCATGTCTTCTTTGAATCGGTCCCCAACTTTGAAATTGCATCCCAATTTCAATTCTACATTGGCTCGCATCTTGAATTTCAATTCTTATGAAATCAGCTCAATTGCCACCCAAGTGAAATCCCCAACTTTGAAATTGCATCCCAATTTCAATTCTACATTGGCTCGCATCTTGAATTTCAATTCTTATGAAATCAGCTCAATTGCCACCCAAGTGAAATTGCTTCCCAATTTCCACTTGTAATTGGCGCCCAAAGCTTAAACTAGCGCCCAACTCCATCAGATTAATTTAATTTGGCTTCTCAAATTTTACCTTATTTCATCTCAATTCAATTTGATCTCCATGTCTTCTTTGAATCGGTCCCCAACTTTGAAATTGCATCCCATACTACAAAGCTTAAACTAGCGCCCAACTCCATCAGATTAATTTAATTTGGCTCCCAATTTTTGAAATTGCATCCCATACTACAAAGCTTAAACTAGCGCCCAACTCCATCAGATTAATTTAATTTGGCTCCCAATTTCAATTCTACATTGGCTCCCATCTTGAATTTCAATTCTTATGAAATCAGCTCAATTGCCACCCAAGGATTAATTTAATTTGGCTTCTCAAATTTTACCTTGTAAAATTGTTGATGGTGAGTTTTGAACCTGAGCCATTTCGCATAATATATCAAGTATCATCTACTTCGTCCATACAACTATTAATTAAATCTCCAATCATATTTGATGTACTCCTTTCTTTCAATAGATGCTTGATCTCCAAATCAATTTCATGCATTCTTCCAAACTTAATTTTCTTTCACGAAAATTCTTCTGGGATATTTCTTTAAGTAGTAGCATTGACGTGAATATTGTATCATTCATCTTCTTCTTCAATTTGTCATTTTCACCAGATAAATTCTTTATTTTAGGCTTGATATCTTCTTCTTCTATTTTCATGCATCTTCCTCTGTTTTTCTCTTTTCCAACTTAAATAAATTCCTGATCATGGTCTAAGACTCTACTAGACCTATCAAATAAAATTGGGGGATCTACAAATACATATTTGGCATATCAAAACTGTAACACCCCGTGTTACGGCCTTCAATCTCGGATTAATTATTTAATTAAT